ATTGATTTCGAGTGCTAAGCTCCTCCTTCAACTTCTTTCTCCTTGACCGAATCTGACTAAGTCTGTTCCTCCACTTGTCTTATTCATCTTGGTTAATGCCACCCCTGTCTACTTGCTTAAGCCTGCCTGCGTAAGGTTTTGGATTTACTCTCAAAATGTTTTTAGAGTCCATCCATCTCTCTCCATGTCCAAGGCAATAGCCTAGTCTCTCACCAGAGAGGTAAATCAACCCTCTGACATCTTCTTAAAATCTTTCACCAGCTTCTCAATGCAATTAGAGTCAATTCTAAAAGAATTACCATGGTTTTTGAGGCCTGACATTAATAGGCATCAACAAGTCTTGCTAATGATTTTTTTCCCCATTTCTCCCTCACTACCCACCCCAAGGTACAAGAGCTTTCTTCCAGTTCCTATGGCGAGCTGACCTCTTCCCTTAGGGTGTTTATGTGTCTTTCTCTTCTTCTTGGGAAAGTCTCTGGAGGTTCTCAGCTCCTTTGTATCCTTAGAACTACTTGCTGACCACTGTACTACTTGCTACCCATCCTCCCTTTTCCTTCATTTTATAGTCTAGCAGCACATTTATCACCCTTATTGGAGTGACTGTCATCTTTAATTACTTAAGTTTGCTTTTGTTTGACTCTCCCACTAAACTGTGGATTCCATGAAGGCAGGACTGTGTGCCGGATGGGTTGTGGCGTCTATCCCCAGTGCCTATTCTAATGGCTACCACATAGTGGGCTCTCGATCAGGGTTTGTTGAATCAGGGAAACGTATGCGCCTCCATCAGTGGTTCTCAACACGGGTCACACCGTAGAATTACTGAGAGAGCTTAAAAACACACCACTCAGACTCCACCACCAGAGACTCCAATTTAATTAGTGTAGCATGGGGCCTGGGGTGAGCATTTTTAAAAAGTTCTTCAAGTGATTCTACTGTAGAGTCCAGAAAGAGAATCACAGCCCAAAATGAACTAAGGGGGACCATTAAGGTATTACTAACATCCTAACTCGGGGAAAGATTTCTCAAATCTAATTTACAATCGACAAGATGAGAAAGAGCCAATGAACTGAGTTGCATGTATCTCACGGACAATGCTAGTGGACAGAAATGCTGCACGAAGAAGGCTGAGGACTATGATGAACCAAACTGGAAGCCCTGAGAAGTGGAAGCAACATCTGGTCCAGGACAGCAACAAGGTTATCCGGTCATCGCATGAGCCAGCCGCAGTGCCTGAAACCTTTGGTGGCCTAATTCGAAGGTCTGTTCCCTTTCCTTCTGTGTCTCCAGGGTCTGGCGTGCACATTGCAACACATAAGGGGATGCTCAGAGCACTGCTACTCTGGGAGTATGAAAGGAAGACCCCTTCTCTTTTCTTCTCCCTATCTTCATGCCTCAGGATGCCAAGCCTTGGGTCCCCATCCAGCAGGGGAGCAGATAGGCAACCTGAATGATCTCAGCACAAGGAAAGGGGTAATCTTGAGGAGCCCAGGGGTGAATGAGAGGAGAGAAAGGAGGTCCAAGGAGAAAGGAGTTTTGTGCTATGAGGAAGGCCACCTGAGTAGAGAAACAGCAGAGGACACTCAGTGGAAGAGAGCTGCCCCTCCCCACAACTGCCCCCTGCACCCCGTGGGCCAGGAAGGGGGTCTCCAGTGGAGTGACTCACACCGGAACAAAAGGGCTCCCTAATACAAGCTCTCCCTCTTTGTGTGTGGATCTGTTGGCTCAGAGTTACAGGGTTTGTGATAAGGCTATACGTCTCCATCCCTCCACATTGAGGGTGTAGAGCTGAGGTCTCCGTGAGTATTACAACGTCAGATAACCATTTCCAAGCCTCCAGAGCCTTCTGGTGACTGTACTGATCTAATTATAGATCTTAGATTGAAGCAGAAGAAGATTCAAGAGTGATCTGTTATCTCCAAAGGTCACAAACCATCAGTCCCTTTGACCCCTACACATGTTTTGTTGGCATGCACAGTTTTTTTTTTTTAATTTTTCCTCCTCTACATAGTTATTTGTGTGAACGCAAGTCTTTATTTCTCTGGGATAATGCATGCACAGTTTTTTAAAAAGTTATTGAGACTTTTGGTATTTTTTGTTTTAAAAAATAAGAATCTAGAGCTTAAAAAGCAGATCATGTGCAAATACTACGCCTTTTTCTTCTGCAAGACAGACCGGGAGCCGGCTCCTTCTTTTCCTTTCTCCGCTTCTCCTCCTGCCCTCATCCACACACCTTTATTGAGGACCTGCTCTTGCAACAAGTTCAAAGATAAATAAGATATAATGTAAGCGCGTTCCCGCATACATTTCTGCGCTCAGGTTTTCTTTGCATTCGACTTGGCCAAGGGCCGAGATAAGATCTGGGATTTGGATTAAATTCTGCATTCTCTGAGTCATCTTGCTTTTCAAATACCGTTAGTTCAGTCGTCCGTTAGAACTGTCAAATAATTTGTCTTCCAAATGGGCTGCTCTTCTGGATTTCATTCAGAAGCTGGAGTGTGAGATGGCTGTGCCAGTTAATAAGCTGTTGTATCTCAGCTTCAAACCCACTTTTTTTTTTTCCCTCTGCTTTGTGATGCTGGGTCAAGACTCCCCGGGCTCCAATTCTGCATTGTCAGCAGCTTCCCCTTATGCTCTGTCAAAGCACAGCGCCGGAGAGGGGAAGAGGAGTGGGATCCAGGCCTGGGCGGCTTCCCCAGCCCTTCCTGCCCCTCCCCGGGGCTGTGACAGTGTCATCTCCTCCAAGGTCTGAGACCCGGGGCTCCGGCCTCTCTCAAGCATCTAGGTTCTGCTCACTCCAAGCTCTTCCCTTGGTTCTTGAAGCCCTGGGACCGGCAGCTGCCTTCCTGAGATCCCCGTCTCTGAGCTACCTTAGGGTCTCACTTTCGTGTTGCCCGTCCTCTAACACCTGTTGAATCAGTTCCTGACAACCCTGGTCCTCAAAGCTCAGCTTGCGTCTCGGAATCACCCGAAGGGCTCATTGGACACATTGCGGGCACCCCCCTCTCCCTCTGCCTCCCCCCTGCCAACTCTGAGTTTCTGATGCATAGCAGGTCTGGGGGGAAGGGGGGAATGGGGCTGAGAGTTTGCTTTTTCTACCAAGTTCCCAGGTGAGGCAAAGGCTGCTAGTCTGGGGACCCCATTTAAGCCACTGCTGAACGTTAGATTGCCTCGGTCAAAATAGTGTGTAGTCTGTTTTCTGGCTGGCCTCTGATGGGCTTAATGGTCTTCACTAAAACAGATGCCACCCAGACCTACCAGTTTGGTAGGAGGTGAAGGGGGAGCGGGAGGTGATGTCAATATCCACTTCTCACCCAGACCCACCATGACATTGACTCACTGTCTCGCTCTGTCTGTCCATGCCTTGTACCTGTGCCCTTGCTCCTCTGCCCTCACCTCGAAACCCTCAGCCTTCTTGTAGAGACTTCATCCCACCCCTCTCCGGCTCATGTCCTCCTACCTCGGTGGGCTTGCTCTGCTAATCCCATCCCATCTGAATTCTGATTTCTCTCAACTGTGCTAAGTGCCCAAGCTAACACCTTCTTCTCGGTTTGCTTTTTCAAGTCCGCAAACATGTATTGAATTGTTTGCTGTTTGCAGAGCCTCATGCTAGAGGCTCTCGCTGGAGGTACCAGGCTGAGCAAGACTCATACTCTGCCCTCCTAGGGTCACCGTTTCTGTACAATTTAAAACTGTGTTATGCGCTCATGAAAGACATGGGGAAAATATTAGCAGAACCCCCACTCGAGAGAGGACTGCTTTAGTGAAGTGAATTATTTGATTAGCAAGATGTGGATGAGGCAAGACTCCCAGAAGTGTGCTCAAGTACTAGTAGATAAAGGCCATATCATGCTGCGAGGTGAGGGACCCTCTGTTAACCCAAGGCTCTGTTTTATAGAGAGGGAGCTCTGCAGGTTGGTGGCTGGAGTTGATTTGTGCTGCGGGAGGGGACTGGTGTCCAGACACGGAGGGGTCTTGGGTCTGGTGGCAGCTAAAGGGCAATGTCGGAGGAGAAGGAAACAGTCTAATAGGGATCTTGAATCTACCGTTTGCTGGCGTGGGTTGTAATCTCTCCATGTCTCCCCCTGGGATCATTAAGAGAACCATGGATGCCTCCTGGGAATGTGAGAAAAACACGAAGTCTTTTTGCAAGTTTGAGGCGGGGTGAAGCCAGAGCCCTCCCATAGAAGAATGGCTACATGCAAGTTATGTGTACAGTTTTGATTTTTCTCATGTTTCTCTTCTCCACGTAAATAGACCTTAAGCACCTTGTGGCACCATCTGGAGTCTATATTCTTTTCCATCAGTAACAGTTTTTGAGTAGGATATGTTTATTGAAGAGCTGATTTTGAGTTTAGAGTTCATTTTTTCTCAGCTACGCCTATCATTAGCCTACCGGTAGGCCTGAATGTGACAACTCATGTGGGCAGAACACTGGCCCTTTACTTTTTTTTCGATGATTTTCATTTATTTTCCTGATGATGAATAAATAAATGCACATTATTGAACATTTGAAAACATTAAGTAGTATAAGAAAAAGTGAAAATCACCCATAATTTCACTGCTCGGCGGTAACTACTGCGAACAGTGTGTATCTATATGGAGGTTAAAAGGAATATATGTACAATATAAATATTTATCTATAGTCGAATTTGATTCATAAAAATCTTAGGATTATAGATCTTATATTTAGCAAATCTTATACACTGTTTATTCACTTAACCTTTTGATGCATCCTTTTGATTACATCTTCAAAGATATAATTTAATTCCAGCGTCATTTATTCATATAGACTATCACAATGTACAACTAGAATTCCCTATTGTTGGATAATTACATTTTTCTCTACTTTCACGATCATATATAATGCTACAGTGGACATCCAGGTATACGTACTGTAATTTTCCATTTAGGTAGCCCTGTCTTTTGACACCTTGGAAAGCACATTTGTCTTTGTGTCAAAGTAGAAGTACTTTGAAATAGAAGTTGAATTGTGTCCTTACCTGAAATGAAGCTCAAAAGATACAACCCTAGTGGACCATGCAGGGTTTCAAAGGGCTTGCCAAAAGCATTGTACATGAAGAAGGCTGTTCCCACCATGGTTAAAACAACCAGGATCGTAGAAAAGAGGATGACGTTGACATGGATGCTCACGGGGATCACTTTGAGCAAATCTGGGAAAACTAAAGATAAAACAAATTTAGAAGAAATTTCATTAGTGGTAGTCTGCAAATGTAATTTCAAAAATTAAATCCTTCTTTTCAACTTCAAAAATCACTACAAGCCTTCAGATGAATACATTGTCACTTACTAATTTACAAGGGATTTAGAAAAAGGTTTAAACACAGGATTATTTTATAGAACTCGCCAGTAAAGACCAACAAAGTGGAGATTGGAGGGAATTTTTTCTGCCCTTGGTTACATATAATTACTTAAATAAACAAGTGCTGGCTTTGTAGCCAAAACCTGTACATGTTGATGACCAAACTTCTACTGTCCTTTCTCAGTTGTCTTTTTTTTTTTTTTAATCTGTCTTGAAATGAGATTTTCAGTTTGGGGCTATCTGGGCTAGTTCAAACATCAGGAGGTATTTCTATTTCCTTTGCTACCAAAAAAGAAAAAAAATGTTTCTAGTCCACACCAAGATTTAAAAATGGGATATTTTTCGGTCAACTTCAATATTCTGATGTCACACAAGCTGTGGGAAAATAATTTCTGGTGATACAAGAAATATTTTCCATTTAGAAAATGTGCCAAATCTATTTCTAGATTTTGTGTTCAGGGCAAGTTTTTCTTGTTTGCAGAAGAAATGAAATATTTTATAAATGTAGGGTTTCTCTTATCCAGTGAGGCATCGGTATGCATACCATCAGCAAACCTGGCAAGACCAGCCTGGGGATGTTTCGTTCAGTCCATTTTGGTTTCCCAAACATTGATCAAGTGCATCTTAACTTATTTACTGAGCACCTAGTATGTGCCAGGCACTGTTCTGGGCCCTGGAAATAGAGCCATAAAACAAGATTAGACAAGGTCCATTAGACAAGGTCCGTGTTGTCTTGTGGAGATTAGAACCTAATGGGAATTAACAGACAGCAAGTAAACCAATAAATTCCATAGTTTATTTCCAAGGATGGCCACCGTCAATTCCTTCCCTCCTTCTATGTACGTCACTTCCCTTTAGAGGAATTTATTTTCCCCAATTCTCTTGAACCTGGGTTGGCCCAGACACTTTCACAGAACGCAGCTGTTAATGGAGAAACTAAACAGGGTAATGGAATTTTGAGTGATTGAGTGAATGGATGTGGGTGGTCAGCAGAGTTACACCTGAGCTGGAACCTAAATGCCAGGAAGGGAGCGGTTGGTTGTATAAAGATCTGGGGGAGAACATTCCAGGGTTAGGAGCGTAAGGTGGGGCGACAGCGAGTTGGTGAGTCTAGTGAGCGAGAGGAGGTGACGTGTGATTGCAAGTCTGAGATCAGACTCTTGCATCCACTGGGTCCTGGTCTCCTGACCAGGTAAGGTAAGGAGTTGGCTTTTAATTCTAAATTCACTGGGAAGCCAGTGGGGAGTTTTAAGTAAGAGAGGGACCCAGTCTCCTTAATGATGTGAAAAGATGGCTCTGGTTGCTGATTAGCAGGTAGAAGGGGGTAGGGAGAGGAAGGAGGGCAGGGAGACCTGGGTGTGGGGGGAAGAGCATTCCCAGTGGCAAGAGACAGGGCCCTGGTCTAATGTGCAGCAGTAGAGGTGGTGAGTGGATATCAGATTTGGAATGTATCTTGGAGATAGAAGATAGGACTTGTTGAAAGAAGGGAATCAAGGATAAGCAACTGAATAAATGGTGATGCTATTAACTGACACAGAGAAGTAGAAGGTGTGGATTTGAACATGGGAGTGGGAAGTGAGGCAGGTGTTCTGTTTTATATATTTAAAGTTTGAGTTGCAGCTAAGATATGCAAGTAGAGGTGCCAAACGGGATTTATGTGTCCAGAGGTCCAGGGAGAAGGTGGAAGTATTTAGGGAGGTGGAAATAGGCTGAGGCGAGCAAGGTGCCTGGGGCATGCAATTGAAAGGGACCATCACTCCCTGGGGTTAACCTCCTCTTGCATGAGCCCTGAGAGTGAGTATCTCTTTAGATTTTATGATGTAGGGCTCCCTTAGCCTCCTCCTTATATGGAAAGCCAGAGAAATGGACACCACCTGTGGAGAAACTGTAACTAGAGGAGAAGGGCCCTATGGCTCGCCTACATATACTCCCCAGGGACAGAAGAGAAACCAACCAAGGAGCCTGAGAAACAGAGATTTTTGAGTTAGGAACAAATCCACAGATGGAAGAGCAAAGAAGCCAACGGAAGAAAACGTTCCAAACACGATGACGTGAATCTATGAGAACAGGTATGGAATTATCATCAAAATATGTTCGGGGGAAAAAATAGAAATGCGTACCATTCTACCATTTGGGAAAAAGCCAAAGGGAAATGTATATAGTAACAAATAATTAATTAATTTAATGTAATTACCTGACTTAATTCTCTCAACGACCTACCTACCTCAGAGAAAACCAGGGCTCAGGGGTGAGGTAACACACCCAAGATTGACTTGCTTAGTCAGTAGCAGAGATTTGAACTCCTGTCTGTACTCTTAACCCCCGTGCTACAGCAGCTCCAGGGACAGGCATGCTTATCCAGGCAGACACCATTTCTAGAAGGCTACACACAAAACTTATAACATTGCTCCTGCAGAAGGAGACTGAGGGATACGTCATTATGTAGCTTTTGTATTTTTTTTTCTACCACCTTGGAAGCATTCTCTATCCCATGAAAACAGAAATACCTAAAATGAATGAGTGAATGAATGATTGAAAACTTCTGTGACTTTTCTAGATCAGAGGCGGCTTCAGAGACTTATTGCTAAAAAAAAAAATTGAACAAATGCTTTCTAAAAGTCATTTTTGGAGAAAACCAGAGAAAATTGAACATGGACTGGATAGTAGATGATATTACATAAGTATTATTGATTTCGTTGGTTACGTTCATGGTATTATGGTTGGAATTTTTTTTAAATTATTTCTTTTTCGTGCTTGTGCTTTTAAAAGTCCTGACCAATTTTAAATGATGTAGATGGGTAGGTTGATGGGTGAAATAAGGAAATTCCTCAGCTGTTTGGAGGAATGGCAGAGTGGCAATATAGATCTTAGAGTTTGCAGGTGCTGAGCCTCTGTTCTCCCCCCAGAACACAGGACGGGGTGTTCTATGTTCTGGGGGGCACAGAGTGAGGTAGCTGGTCTTGTTCTGCGGTGCCCTGCCCTCCTGAGCTTCCAGCTGCTGAGACCACACCATCGACCCAACCTGCTATTCTTGGCTCGAGATCAGCTGTTGATTTTGGTTCTTACCAGCAGTTACCAAAAAACCCGCCTCCATCTATCTCCCCACCTACTAAAAGCCGTGGCAACCTCCGTGTCTCTGATAGGGTGGCTAGCTGGGGGAAGCCTGTCCCAAAACGCAGGCTTGTTAACCAAAACGAAGCAAAGGCAGAAAGAAAAGTTGCACCGCTTTGCCTCCTAGAAAGAAAAGCTAGGCGGTAAAATAATAGTCACATGGAGTGTTCCCATTCTTAAGAAGTCTCTTCCAATTTCCACTCTGGTGAGAAAGTGACCCAGCGGGGCACTAATCCCTGCGAGTTATAGTTACTTACATTTTCTCAGGTTTTTGGGGTGGTTTGTTTTTGTTTGTTTGTTTATTTATTTGACAGAGAGCACAAGCAGGGAAGCAGCAGAGGGAGAGGGAGAAGCAGACTCCCCACTGAGCAGGGCACCCCATGTGGGGCTCAATCCTGGGATCATGACCCGAGCCTCCCAAGCGCCCTCAGGTTTCTATTTCTGCTGAAAATCCCCTGAGTCTATACTGACCCCCCAGAACCCTGGTAATAACCCTCCATTTTCCGACCAACGCTCAGGTGACTTTGCTTGGCGGAAGCTGAGAGCAGACCTTTGAAACAAACCTGGGCAGGTGTCACTTGAACCCTATGGGCTATGGAGTATCTGGATTGGTTTGGTCTTGTTCTTTTGGGTTTGGGAGGCTATAATGCAGAGAAAGGATTTGAACATTTTGAGGTGGGGAGGGGCTGTCATTAAATCCGGCAAGTTACTTCTGGCCTCCAGAAATTACTTAATTAGCTGTTGACAAGTGAAAGGGAGTTATTTATTGAGGCAGGCAGCCCACGCCACAGTAGTAGTACAGGACTGGCCTGCGCATTCAGAACCAGTCCTCGGCCTTCGTTCTCCTATCACGGGATTTCCTCCGCTCTCTGCAGGAGGCAGAGGGCCTCCCTCTCCCCGTCTTCAGACACCCCCAGAGCCCTTCTTTTCTGTCCTTTCATCGCCCAACTTCCTCAAAGAACAATGCATGACTAATGATGATAGGACTCAAGCAGCCAACAATGATACAGCACTTGCTCTGTTCCGGGTCTTTAGCTGTATTGCATAGAGACTCAAATCTTTTCATTCTTGCAAGATACAGTGAAACCTAAACGACAGACTTAAATCTTCTAATTCTTACAGTATAGATTTAAAAAAGAAAAACACAAAAAACCAACAACAACAAGCCTGAAGCATCGAGAAGTTAAATTGCCTAGGCACACATGGCATTGCTTTCTTTGCTTTTGACTCCAACCCCCCCCCATTTTTAAGATTTGAGTAAAATTAACACAGCAAAAAAATTCTCCCTTTTTAGTGTCTATTTCTTTAAAAATTCTCCCTTTTTAGTGTCTATTTCTGTGAGTTTTGACACTCAGCCCTGAACCACCACCTCAATCGACACAGAGAACAATTTCCCCATTCCCCAAACTTGCAGCTTCCCCCCTGCAGTCCACCTGCCGCCTCTCCCCCACCAGCTCCTGCACGTGTAATTTTGCAAGAAACTGCCAATTGGTTTTCCCCGAGTGACTGTGCCGTTTCACCCTCCCACCAGCCGTGTAGGAGTCCCCGTCGTTCCGCATCCTCGCTGGCACTTGGCAGCGTTTTAAAATTGTAGCCCTTTAAAGAGGTGTGTAGTTTACCTCCTTGGAGTTTTAATTTGCGTTTTCCAAGTGACTAATGATACCGAGCGTCACTTTGTGAGTTTATTTGCCTTCTATATATCTTCTTGGGTGAAGTGCATTCATATCTTTTGTGCATTTTTTTAAATCG